TTAACACCTCTGGTGGATGATTCTGGATCAAGACGTGATACCTCGGGGTGGAATCTTCAAAAAAAATCCGGCTGGAAGGGAATTGTCGGCTCTCTGCCCTGTGCCTGTCCTCGGGGTGAAGAAAAGCCTCTCGATGTCTGTCGTATCCGGCACCTGACGCCCCTTGTGCTGTTCCCTGAGCTTTTGGGTCTCCTGCATACCCCCCGTGAGGCTCTGCTTCGCTGGAGGTGCGAAAATGGGGCTTTTTCCAAACCTTGGGGCTCGCAGGAGGTTCTTAACCACAATTTCTGGGAAATGAGTGCTCGGTGAAAGCTGGGTTTTATCGCCAGAGCCAAGAGTTGACCTTTTTATGGGGATTATTGAGCTAAATCCCTAAAATCCCAATTAGATAGATCTTAAAATCCCAATTTTTGTAGGATTCTGTGCCGAAAGCAGAGCCGAGGAGATCGTGATGAAGCTCACTCTTCCATTTATTATCCGTAATGTTCCGTATTTCCATGATTTCACAGAATAATTCGACTTAATGCCCATCAAGGGACAGGAGTGGGATGATTTGCTGATGTTTTATAAATCATAAAATTATCAGAATCAACTTATTTTATAAATATATTTTAGATAAGAACTCGATCTTGGCTTTCTTGCCAAAGAAAGATCTTTGACTCTGCCAAATCTCAAAGATTGAGTTAGAAAAGAGCCGGAAAGGAAAAAGTCGGCTCCAAAGAAGATTTTTCCAATTGTATCGCCTCAATGAAATCTCTCCTAATTCAAACAGGATGCGAAGTAAGGTCCCGCTTCGGATTTTTGTCCATTTTTTTAACATCTGCATGTGCTTTTCTGCACATAAGCGGCGCCGGGAACGAGACCGCTCTTGGGTTTGAGCCGCTCTGCAAGCGTCTGTTTCAAATTTAGGGATTCACACAGAACTGTTCCAGCAGTTTCTCCTCATTTATTCCTTCGGAAAGAGAGCTGGGATCCGACTTCGTGGCTCTGGGGTTGTCGTTTTGGCCAGAGAGCAGGAGGTTTGCTCTTAATTTGAGCGTTTTGAACCCTAGAGAACGAGCCGTTGCTTTGTGCCGTGAAGTTGCCGTGTGGAGGCCAAAATTACCATTACGTTGAGGGTCATTTTCAGGCAGTAAGATCTTGTTTTATTTTAAAGGAGTGCTCTTAAAATAATATTATCTTTTTTTTTTTAAACATTGGATCTTTTAAAGCATTTTTTTATATCGGTGAAAGAATTTCTGCTTCTGTTGCACGCATCTTTCTTCGTCGAAGGTGGAATTGAAGGCTCGCTCTCCTGATGGCGTTTTGTGAAGCTGCGACAATTTTTTCATGCTGAAAATTCGCCGCCTGCGGTCACAGCTAATGAGCTTGTCTCAAGCAAAGAGAAATCCCTCCTTAAAAGTTGCCGTTCGGCAGTGGCAGACTGTTAAAATTAATTTTGGGGGCTTTTTTTTTTTTAACAGGTCATTTCTTCAGCTCCCGCCGAAATCCCCCGTCTGCTTTTATTTTGCGCTGAAATTTTTTTTGCTTCTCCCCAGAATCGGTGCTAAATTTTTTGTTCCCAGAGGAGCAGCTCCGACCTGTAACTCCCATCCGCAGGGATTCACAATTCCCGCTGCCCTGGTGTTGCATTTTCTGTCCGTACCGACCTCCCTCTCGCCCCGGGTGGGTGACTGGAGGGTTTTTCTGGTTTGTGGCTGGCCGCGAAGTGTGTGATTTATTTTTCAAAGGGAAAAGAAATACCTTGAGGATGCTGGTTAAACACTCAGCGAGAGCGTAGGCACAAAGGGGAGAAGGAAATGCCGCAAACCCACATGAAACGGGAAGGGCTGAAAAGCCGACACCGTTGGGGTTCTCTTGCTGTGAGCGATATGCAAAGCGATGACGACGAGGGGCTCGTTTGGAGCGGGGCTGTGGTTTTAGCGGCTTTGCGCTGTCAACAATCTCTCTTCAAACCTCACGTGACTTTTTTTTTTTTTTTTTTTTAAGGAAGGAAAACCAAAAAGGTCTGGTTTGACCTCCTGCGCGGTACGGGAGGTGGGATTTCACCCAAAATGTCCTCGTTGGGTCCAATAACGTGGAGCAGAGCGGCTGTTTGTTAATTTCAAGATCTCAAATGATGACACATCGCTGCATTTTGGTAGCAACCAGCCAGCCGTCCACCTGTAAGCCATGTTCCCCCTCACCACCCTTCTCCCCTCGGGACATTCCCGTCGCTTTCCTCGTTCCGTGCCAGAGCCAAATCCTTCAGGAATTCCCTGTGTGTTTGGGCACATCAGGATGTGATTGAGGGTTTGGGTTTTGGTGCAAAATGTCATTTATTTTGTCCGCCAACGTGTTCCCAAGCGCTGTGGGGCTGGAGCCTTTGCAGACGGGTCCCCGGCAGCTCCTGCAAAATTTTAAGCTGGATTTTGCACGAGGTTGCTGGTGTTTTGCAGAGGAGCGTGTGACTCGGTGACCAAGTTGTCGGCTCCCATTCTGTGGCGGTGTCGGGCTCTCTCTCAAGTTTAAGCTGCACGCTCTTTTCCTTTTTTCCTGGATAAACCGCAGAAATAGGGTGAGTTTTGTATTCTCCTGCCTCGCGCACATCTTTTAACCTAAAAATTCATGAGATTGCAGGTTGAGCAGAGCTATCAGGCTGCTGCAGACAATTCTTTTTCCTTCTGCTCTCTCCAGCCGACTCGGGAATGAAGATTTCAAGACTTTTTCCCTGTGCCCTACAACCCCTCCAGCCTTCAAAAACCATTTTTTTTTCTCCCTGTATAATTTCGTCTCACATCGCTTGCGAGCATCCTGGGCATGCCGAGCGAGGAATCTATTTGATATTGCCGTTCTTAATTCAGGATTTGAAGCCAAGAGCTCCTCTCTCCCATTAAGTAAAAGCATTTTCAGAGCCGAAGGCTGCGTTAAGCGGTGCTCTGTGCCGTCGGGACCCCTCCTGGGCCAGCTGTTATCGTTTAATCGACTTAAATAAATTAATTTGGACGTGCCTGGAGGCTCTGTGGAGCCTGTAACATCTCTCTGAGTAAGAGCCCGTCTCGGATCAGGGATCTGGAGTTTTGTGTTGGACAATTTCCGGGCTCGTAAGGTAGAAACGGTCAGAAAAAATTCACCTTGAGCTTTTCGAATCTCTCCTCCTTCAGCTTTTAAAAATTCTAAATTAAGTGAGGATAATCTGTTTTCGTATTGCAGGACAATAAGCCAAAAAACCTCTGTCTTTTCCAGTCTTTGCAGTTGCTGGGGAAGTTTTCAGGTCTGTTTTTTAGTTCCTTGTCCTAAATTGACCGGTTTCTTGTCCTTCTGTATCAACATATCTGTGTGCACTTTAGGAGCCGCGGAGCAGGAGTTGAGCTGGACACCAGGAGGAATAGAGGAGGTGCGTAAGAAAATAAAAAAAAACCAAACCCAAACTCAATCACAGGCCTCCTGGTCACCAAATTTTCCACGATTTCCCTCAAATTTTAGATTATTGCCAAAAGCGGAGATAATAGGTGGTCCAGGTCCAGAAACATCCAGGTAGTAACCTCAAAAATTTGCAAGAGTAACGAGCAACGAGAGTATCGCTCGTTAATTTTTACCCATTTTTGCGTTTTTCCCTTTAATCCTTGTCCTAGACTCCGTTGACTTGCTGCTCAATTAATTTCAGGATATTTATATATAATTATTATTTATTACAAATTATTTTTGCAGCCTGAATGAAATAGTTAATTACTACGAGGCTACAACCGGGTACTGAGATACTCAATCACTCCATTGGTAGGGAGAGACGCTCGAAAATCGAGCGAGTGGCGAGCGTGGCCAAGAATTTGGAAATTTTGGGGGTTTAATTGTGCTGGAGCCAGTTCGTTTAGCTTAAAGGCTTTTAATAAAATCAGCTCAAGGCACTAAATCTGTGAGTAACTCCAGTGGATAAACCAGGACAGGTGTAAGGACTGAGGTTTGGAAAATATCTTTCCAAAAAAAAAATCTGATTTGGGAGGATTTTAGAAATAGTTTGGGAGTGAAATTAGGGTTTGCCTGTGAGATTTGAGCTGAAAGGAGAGAAATTGGGGTGAAAACGGTGAATTTTAACAACCAGATTCATCTGTTTCCCCAGCTTTAGGGAAACTAATTTACCTGCAGAGAATATCGACAGGTTCCGTGTTGACGTAGCCGCTTATTTCCTACCACAGCCACAAATTTAAAATTTTCCGGTGTCCATCCAGAGCGGATCTCCCCATTTTTCCCAAAAGGTAGCGAAGGCAAAATCAGGAAGGATTCCACCTTAATAACTCCGGTTCTTATTCCTACCTCTGTGTTTATATGTCTTTTTTTTTAATTTTATTTTGTGGAGGAGCATTAGGTAGGTTGGAGCTTTCTGTAGACATAAAGATTCCTTTTTTTGGGGAAAAAAAAATATATATTTTTGCAATAATGTCTGTTTCAAATTCCTCCTCTAGCCAGCAAAAGGTAGTGGGACTAATTCTTCCCAAATTAATTCCTCTTTTAAACTCCAGAAGTGGATTTGCCATTCGGGCTAGAACCTGAGCGATCGAATAAATTTAATATGAAAAAAAGATTTAGAAATAATAATTTTTAGAAATTTTTATAAATTTAGAAATAAAAATTTTTTAGAAATAAATAAATTTAAAAAAAAAAAACTTGAGGCACATCATTACCTTTTGAAAGGAGAGAATTAAAATGACATTGTGGGATGCACAGAAAGATTCTTTTTTATTATTTAATTTTTACCCTGGTTTTTCTCTGGATTCAGAGGGAAACGCGGATGGAAATCGTAGGGTTATCCAGCAGCTGCGGGATGCTCGAGGATCCTGCTTTTGGGGAATTAAAAAAAAAAAAAGGAAAGCAGGGTTTTGCATCTGTCTTTTCAGCCTCAGCGCTGATTTTTTTTTTTAAAGATTTTTTTAGAGCTGCCGTCGGATTGTTTCTTTACTTGATGTGGAAGTGTGGGAATTGGGAGCGTTATTGATTTGCCCTCTTTTAAATTTCAGCAGCTTCACAAGAGACAGAGTGAGTTAGTAAGGAAAGCAAAATGTGTAAGTAATATATATTTTCCTAGCTGAATAGCTTAGGCATATACTTTTTTTTATATGTCTTCTTAAGAGTAAGGAAGGTCGGACCGTCTTTGCTTTGGGGAACTCTTCTATCTCTTTTTTTTTTCCTTCTATTTCCTCCCCGCTTCACCTTCTCCAAGCTGTGGGCACAAAACCAGCTCTGCTTCCTCGTCCTCATCATAGGTGTGCGTTTTCTTGGCTGGTTGATATCTTCTGACTGGGGGTCTCTTGGTTTGTTTTTTTTTTTTAATTTTTTATTTTTAGATTTGTTTTTATTTGAGATTTGTTTCCCCCCCCCCCATGTTAGGGGAAAAAGACTAAATGAACCCAAATTAAATCTGGATGAACCTAACGCTGCTACGCAACTCATGTTGTAGACATTTAATGCTAAATCACTGCAGCGGGAACATCGGATACAGCCGTAAATTAATTTGGGAGCATTCCGTAACGCGGGGCAAACGCTGACGAGCAGAAATAAAATTCTAAAAAAACCAAACCTTAAACTCTGCCTAGCAGCTGCCTAAATGTCTG